GCCACAATGCCCGGCTATTTTTTGGTTGCAGCCGTCATTGTTGTTTGGCGGGCCTGGGCTGGATTCGAACCGGCCGCCTTAGGTGTATGTTGCTGGCGCCTTAGCAGCTTGAGCCACAGGCACTGAGCCCCCTGTATCTTTTTAAAATCTGCACAACCACCTTATAAGGACATTATTATTACCACCATCTTGTTTATACAAGGACACTGAAACATAAAGAGTTTAAATGATTTACCTGTGGTAGAAGACAAGTAAATGGCAAAGTCAGAATTTGAACTCAGATTTTTTTAGGCTTTAAAGCCCCAGCTTTGTATCTGTGTTTGTTTCTTTTCATCAGAAAATTCTGACAAAGAATAAAGCCCTAGCTTAAATTTTTGTTTTTAAACTTTCTTTGGGTTTTTTTGTTTTGTTTTGTTTTTGTGTTTTTTGAGACAGAGCCTTGCTCTGTCACCAAGGCTAGAGTGCGGTGGTGTCATCTCAGCTCACTGTAACCTCAAACTCCCGAAGCCCCAGTTTTTAAACAACCTTTCATATTTGCCTTCATGGACCTCATAATCTAATGGGAGACTAGCATACAAGTGATAAGCCGCTATAACACAGCACAAGTTCGCTTTGGGAGCAGACCCAGCAGCCAGCTAATCTCAGGTACACGCTCTGTACTAGCACTGCTGTGACAACGTTGGGACCCCCAACCAAAAGGTGAACAGAGAAAGGAGGATGCGTCCTCTGTCATAAGGGGTCAGGAGTAACACCAGCCAACTGCTATTCTTCCAGGAAATAGCTTCCCCCTTGCCAAGAAGCCCCCACAGATCAAGGGAGACAGGATCTAGGCCCATGGCCTGTGGAGCGGCAGAAGGAACCAGAGCGCGCAACTCAGGCCAAGCCCTGGTGAGGAAGGAGGAGGTGCACGGTGGACCACAGCTGGCCTCACGGCAGCAGGCCCAGGGCTCTGGAATGCAAGGTCAGGGAGGTCCCAGACATTTGTACTCCGTTCCCTCTTAAAACAAAGAAAACTGCCGAGTTAGATGTTCCAAGAGACATCAGAGTATCTGAGTGGCCATAGATGTGAGGAAAAGAAAACACACCCAGGGAACATCTTGTATTTTAACCCTCCTACCCCAAAATACAAAGAAATAGCTAGAAAAAATATACAAAGGTCTAGGAGGAGCAAGAGACTTCTGGAAAATGCTAGGACAGCTGAATTAGTATCTGACTCCAAACGGGAGACCCAGGTATGTACCTGGTGCTTCTATTCTCCAAAGTCATCTTGCCTGGGGCCAGTGTGCACTGAGGGAGGAACTTTAGTCACCGGCAGAAGTGACTGCTTGCAGGGCCCTTTTTGGTTCTACTGAGCACTCATCCTCTATCACGCATCAACAAAAAACTAGAGCTGCTGTTAAGAAAAATGAACTCGAGACTGGAAAAATGGCTCGTGGGCAAGTGTAAATGGATAGGGCAAAAAGGAAAAAGAATTAAAAACCAAGAGGGCCTCTGCATTCGTATTGTTTCGAAGTGTTGAAGTTCTCATTCTACTCTTCAGCTGGAAATCATACCGTATGCTTATGTTTATGCAAGAAAAATTTATGCAAGAAAAGACCTCAGGGAACACCAGTCAACAATCCATACACAAAGGAAAAGCCTTACCACGAGGTTGGCAAATTAATGCATATTTATATGTCTTAAATAGGTTGTTTCATCAAAACACGATTCTGTCTTTATCTTTCAATTAACCCACTAATTATCTGTCTGACACAGTCAGATAAGAGAGATTCTGTATATACTACTAATGTCTCTTCTACCTCTCTAAATACATGGTAAGCTTCATAAGAATAGGAACTGTGCATATTTGCTCATATAAAATAAGTGTGAAATACCACATTGATAAATGTTACAAAAGGTCTATGCTATATCCTTAGGGTATCTGACCTAGTCAGTAAGGATAAGAAAACCTTGCCCAAATAAGTGATATTTGAGATGAAACCCAAAGTTAAAGTGGAAACTGGAGAGCAGTAAAGCAGCACAAGGATACACTCCAGACATAAATATAGCATGTGCAAAGGCCCTGGGGCAGGAGAAAATGGAGGAAGGCAAGTGTACCTTGAGTAGGTGAAGGAGTAAAACCAGAGGTGGGAGGGTTTAATATGATCTGATTTGCATTTTGAAATGCTTGTTCTGATTATAGTATGGGGAAAGGTCTGGAATGAGGTTAGGAGAGGTGCATTAAGACAAGGAAAACTGGTGGCACCTGTGGCTCAGGGAGTAGGGTGCCGGCCCCATATACCGAGGGTGGTGGGTTCAACCCAGCCCCGGCCAAACTGCAACAAAAAAATAGCCAGGTGTTATGGCAGGCACCTGTAGTCCCAGATACTTGGGAGTCTGAGGTAACAGAATCGCCTAAGCCCATGTGAGCTATGACGCCACGGCACTCTACCAAGGGTGACAAAGTGAGACTATCTCTTAAAAAAAAAAGGCAAGGAAAACTGGAATGGGTTAGATTGGGGAAAATCATGAATTCAGTCTTAAAAATTATGAACTTGAGATCCTTTTGGAACACTCAAATAGAGATGCCAAGCAGGCAACTGGCTGTAAGCACCTGCCTCAGTCCTCTGGTGAGCAAGAATGCATGTTCAATATGTCTTACATTTGATGTTTCTGTGTTCCTTACCTTTCATTTTTGAAAATAAAACCCAAATATATTTTCTTGTTTATTTTTCTTTTTTGGCCGGGGCTGGGTTTGAACGTGCCACTCCGGCATATGGGGCCGGTGCCCTACCCTTTTGAGCCACAGGTGCCACCCTAAATATATTTTCTTTAACATAAGTTCTCCTTTGTATTCATTAACAGCAATAGCAGCCTTCTGTTGTTTGATAAGACTCTGTCACACACTCATTCTTCATTGCTGTGTTCTGAATGTTTGTGTCCCCTAAATATTGTTGTTGAAAAATTCTCACCCCCATAGCGAAGGCATTAAGAGGTAGGAGGTGATCAGTGCATAAAGGCGGAGCCCCTGTGAAAGGGATTAGCACCCTTCTACAGGAGACCACAGACAGCTACCTCCAAGGTGCCACCTGTGAGCCAGAAAGCAACCCCTCACCAGACACCTACTCTACTGGAATCTTGGTCTTGGACTTCCCAGCCTCCAGGACTGTGAGAAATAAATTTCTGTGGGTTCTAAACTACCTGGTTTATTGTATTTTGTTATAGCACCCTGAATGAACTGAACCATTATCTGTTTGTTAAGCACCAATTATATCCCAATATTCTAGTCAACAAAAGTCAGTGAAGATAGAAGACAGACCAAATCCCTGACTTCATGGCATTTACAACCTAGGGGAGAGTCAGACAATACACAGCTGTTAGCAGACCTGGGCTGGGAAAGAGAGGGGGGAAAGGAGGGCTGGAGAGAGAGAACCTGCTGCAAGGACTGACTGGTTCCAACAGCTACATTTACAAA